GCTGGATATCCTCAGCGTCGGAGAGGAGGTCATCGTAGAAGAGAGATATGCCATTCCAGTTGGCCAAGAAAAGCTGCCAAAGCCTGAGCTCGGATTTGCAGTCGGCTGAAAGGCTTACGTGGTGGTAAGAAGAGGACACGGATGAGGCGAGGTCGAGAAGGTAGGAGATGAATGACCGTCCTTGAGGAATGATATCCATGGTGTAATTGAGGTGGCCGAGCAGAGAGAGAAGTTCCCTCTTTGTGCAAGATTTGGCGGAAGAATAGGTAGAGATATACGTCTGGATCCTGTCGATCTTGTCGCGAGGCAGGGAGTCGGAGAAATTGATGGAATTGAGGGTGATCCCGAGGAATTGGATTATATGAGAGGGACTGGTTGTTTTGTCTGTGGCGAGAGGTACCCCTAGTTTCCCGAAAACGGAAGTAAGTGTGGAAGAGGCTCTTGCGGGTGGGGCGTGAGGAAAATCTATGGTAAGGAAATCATCGAGAAGGTGGACAAGAAAATGAAGCCTATAGTTATTCAAGAGGATCCAGCAGAGATCTTCGGCTAAGGTATCGAAAATTTTTGGGCTACTCCTGCATCTGAAAGTAAGGCGGACTGCGAAGAAGAACTTGTTCCATCAATGAACTTCAAAGAGGTGCCAGAAGTCTGGGTCGAGAGGCATAACTTTAAAGGCACTGGAGATGTCGTCATTAGCAAGGCAGGCGCCCTGACCTGCGATTTTGATGAGAGAAATGGCATGGTCGATTGTGGCATAGTGGAGGGAGAAGTCTGAACTGGGAATAAGGCTATTGAGACTTGGCACGTGGGAGTTATGGGCTGACAAGTCGATTATAAGGCATTTTTTACCTGAATACTTACGGACCGCTATACCAATGGGATTGATGCGGTATGCAGGGAATGGGGGAGAGTCAAGTGGGCCGATCATGAAACCGTTCTCAACTTCAGATGCTAACAAGGAATCAACGGACTGGGGATCGGCGGTGGCAGATTGCAAATTTTTGCAAAAGACGGGGGTAGAAGGAAGTGTGCACAGGCCTGGTGAGAATCCGAAGGAAAGGCCTTCGAGTAAGATGTGGGTGGAAGAGGGGTCGGGGTGACGGAGCAGTTCGGAAGCAAAAGCGGGGATATCGATTGGGGTAGACAGAAAAGCCAGTAGTCATTTGGGAACACTGAAGGTGGAGCAAGCATGGAAGGCCGGCGGGGGCAGGCAGAGCGAGCGTGAGCTTCGCCGCAGAAGATGCAAATGTGGAGGAAGAGACAAAGGGAAGAGGTGCATGTCGAGGAATTGAAGTTGTTGCAAATTTGTTGACCTCTGATCATCACGATGGGACAACCGCGAACGTCTCTGGACCGGGAAAGTTTGAAAAAGACCTGGCGGGAGAATTGATGCTGAGGGGGAGAAGGGACAGAGTCGGGGTTGAGCTTGGGGACTGTATTTGGGCAAAGATTTGATGAATGTGTCTAAGAGGAACAGAAGTTGCAGGAAAGAGCTCTGATGTCGGTGAAAGTGTGGCAGTAAAGCTCAATGTCGAGGGCTCCCCAGTAGGTGCGCTGGTTCCATTGGAGTAGGCGGGCAGCGGCCTCGGCCGAGAACTGCTTATGATAATTGTAGAACAGGGAGCCCTCAAAAAGGACAGATAGATCGGGGATGCAGTGCATGTAATCGTCGAGTTCCTGATGACGTTCGGGAAAGGCGGAGCACGTGATGTCGCAGAAAATGCTGAAAGCCAAGCAGAAGTCGGAAATTCGAAGAACTGAAGCAGAGTGAGGGTCAGAAGATTTGAGAGTAACGGAAATTGAGTCACAGTCGACTGTTCTGGAATCGGAGTTGTAAGTGGAGGAAGAGTGAAGGTGAGCTAGATTGACGTCCGCACCTCGTAGAATTTGCTGCCGGAGTGAAAAGGGAATGGGAGGAGGACTAAAATTTAGTGCATTAGAAGGAGCTGGGAGAGGAACGGCTGTTCGGAGAGAAAAGTCCTTAGTAAAGGGGAGATTGGAATCCAAGGCCGATGGCATGGGATGACTGATGCCGTGTTGGACACCGGGGATGGGAGAAGATGAGGAGGGAAGAAGAGCGGAAAGCAGATTGTGGTAGGAGGGGTTAGATGGATCTGGGGCATGAAGCTCGTTGGCTTGGGAAATGGAAGCCAAAGACTGTTGAGGAGGAATTGAAGCAGGGGCAAAGGCTGCGTGAAGGACTGAGGTGGCAGGGGGTGGGGGAGGGTAAGAGCCGCCTGCTGGCTGAGCTGGGGGTCGTTTATTGGATGGCCTTTGGGCCATGGAGACCGCAGCAGGGGCCGAAAGAAAAGAAACCGGGGCCAAAGGCACCAAGCTGGTGGAGCTTGAGCCGTGTTGGACGCCGGAGGTAGAGACAGGAGAGAGTGCAGAAATTAGATTAAGCAGAGAAGGGGGTTGGGGAGGGGTGTGAGCCAGGGGCCTTAGACCCGGCAGCAAGGAGTTTAGGGAAGGAGGCTGGGTGGAAGAGGCTAAGTGCGGTTGTTCAGCAGAGGAATGGATTGGTTGGGGAAGAGACACAGACACGGATATATCAGGACAAGACAAGACAGAAGACACGACAGGCAGAGGCGCGGACGGCCTCGGGGTCCTCACGTTGGGATGAGTGGCGGTGTGGGTGATGTCATCGGAGGGCGCCTGGGGAAGCTGTGTAGCTGATGTTTCCTTTGTGTAGACTGCGGTTAAGTACAGGGAAAACAGAGATTTTTTGGAAGCATTTCTTTTAAAACGGACTCCATGTTTTCGAAGTATCCTCTGGAGGCTTCCGTAGCAAGTTGGAAATCACGAGAGATGATCCAGGAGAAGGGGGAGCCGATGTGCGTGAAGCGCGGCGGCTGGGACATCCTCGAGAGAAGCGGGGGTTATTTGGAGATTTTGCCGTGCAGGGACGGGAAGGCTGGGTTTGTGATGAGAGAGGGACTACGACAGCGGAACACAGTCTTCGGCGAGGAGTTGAATCTTGTGAGGACTGACTGGGAGATGAGCGGCACTGATGTGGCACGGCGGGTGAAGGAGGCGATGAGACGGAGGTGAGGGGAGCGGGGGGGGGGGAGACTGGACAAGAGGGGTAGGAGAGTCTCCTGTGCTGCAGAAAAGGTCTTCATCGGAGCAGCAAATTTGCAGATCCATGAGAAGGGAGCATGGATTCGAGTTAGGCGAAAACGAACCATGCAGAAAACAAATGAAGAAATGAAGGAAGAGGAGAGGGTGACGTTTGATATATATGGAGACCGGTTGCTTACGTCAGGATTAGTGAGAATTGCAGCAGCTGTGTCAAATGAGCTCGGCTGCTTTCATTCCTCCCGAACTTTCATTAAAAACTCAATTTAAATAATAATAGTCATGGTACTGAAAACTGTAAACATATTTTACATTATTTGTAATATTGTTTAAGATCTACATCTTGAAAAATTGGTAAATACTCCATAAAATAAAATGTTACAATTGTCACTTAAGAATTTATAAAACAAAGGCAGTTGACTGGAGAGCAGACAATAACATATTGCAAGGTTCAGTTATCCCAGCTGTTTCTTGAGTAAGATCAAGTAAACTATCCTCATTTGCTGTTGCATAACAAGCACTATAAATGTTCAAGCTGTTTTGTTCAAAAGGTCATAATGAGCTTCATGTCCCATTCTTCAAAGTCATTTTACAGGACATATTGTATGGTCTCAGTGGGCATAGTGCAAATGAAACCATGACTAGCATGGAAACAACCCTACACATTTAGCAGATTTCATTAACAGTGTGTTACTCTGAGTAGCAGAACCTTATTGTAGTTTCAGTTTAATAGGTCAATTACCCTCTGAATAAATTGAAATAGAAGTAATGAACTTTAGTAGCTAAGCAGAACAAATGTCAAATGATCAAATGTTTCAGCCAGAAGGTTAAGGAATGTGAAAGGGGATCAGGCATACTGTTCATGGAAAATTTTGTACATATTACAATAAATTGCTTATTATGGATTTGACCACTCCAGCCATTAGCCACTTGCAGCCCCACCTTATGTTGTTTTGCTGTTGTCATGATATATAACTTTCAGATGTTTGTGCGGTCTATCTTCACCTACAGTGGTGTGAAAAAGTGTTTGCCCCCTTACTGATTTCTTATTTTTTTGCATGTCACACTGAAATGTTTCAGATCAAACAAATTGAAATATTAGACAAAGATAACACAAGCAAACACAAAATGCAGTTTTGACGGTTTTTATTATTAAGGGAAAAAAAATCCAAACCTACATGGCCCTGTCTGGTCCTTGGTCTTAGTGCTTTTTTTGATACAGTAAATCATTCAGTGTTGCTCAATCACTTGTAAACATTTTTGTCTATCAATGGCACTGTCCCTAAATGGCTTTGCTCTTATCTGACTGGCATTCAGCATCCTTCTGTTCTCATAAATCCCCTGTGGCCCCAGTCAATGACGCTAAGCCACAGGGTTCAGTCTTGGGCCCCGTCTTTTTTATTATTTATATGCTTCCCGTTACTCAGATCATACACAAATATTAAAGTTCACTCTTAGCAGATGATAGATGTGTTCATAGATTTATTTTTTTAACTTGTTCCCCCTCTGGTCTCCCCCTTCCGTCACTTATCTATTGTTTGCATCATATTGTAGTGCTTACGGGTTCGTGCAGGACAAAGGACAAGTGGAGACGTGATGGAGAAACAAGCAACCATTTTTATTCACCTTTACAAAAACACCAACCACGGGATTTACGCATACACTAGGGGACCAATTAAACACGTTGTGGTGTCTCCGGGGGAAGTTTATGTAAATGAAGGTAGTACTCACACCACACTTTTCTTTCCTGAGTTTTGTTGCGTTTCTTCCTCCAACTGTCTTCCGAATGCAGTCTGTAATCCGTTCCCTTAGTCCTGATCCGATCCGAGTTCCAAAAGTCTGTAATAAAGCCAATCCGCGATGTATCCTTAACCAGTGTCCGTAATCCAAAACCATAAACCTTTTCTCCTTTCAGTAGTCCATTATTCCTTAGCCCGATCTTTAACATGCACCTTTTTCCTCTCTTTTCCTCCAAACCGCATTCACCTTACCAGCTTCCGCCCTGTTCACTGCCTCCAGGGCACTTATATTTGCTCACTGGACCCAGGACTAAATCTCGAATTTTTGGTGACAATGCGTATTCTGTTGCCGCTCCAGTGTTATGACCTCCCTCAAACTCTACAAGAGATAAATTCTCTGACTCTCTTTAAATCCAAGCTTACAGTAAAACTCACCTTTTACCAGGGCCTATGCCTGATTGTCCTACATTCTATCTATATAAACCTGTATGCTCTTGTTAATTTTTTTTTTATTTATTGTACTTTTTGTCTTTTTATTTATCATTATGTACTGTACAGTGTCATGGGGTTTGGAAAGGTGATTTATAATGCACTTCTTAACCATTGGCCAGTCAGCTTCGCTACACATGCTGCCAGTCTAATCAGGTAATTTAAACCACATCAGTATATTACTCATTATAATCTCTCCTATCTACCTTGCAGCTTGCAAAATCTGATATACTAGATTGAGTCATCTGAGAGCTGGCCTGTTAGACAACTTAATCTGGATCTAACACAAACCTATAGCTGTGGAGCTGTCTCTCCTTTTCCATCTCAGCCTTGAAAGCTTATTTAATTCCATGCAGAGGTTTTCCTAACAGTTCTCTTCCTTACCAGCTTGTTAGTAGTTCTATTAACTCAAACATAAAAATGAGTTTTCTACACTCATTCAGCCCTGTAATATCTAATTCTCAAGTACTTTTTTTCAATAAACGAGCCTCCATCTCAGATAAAGATCACCCTATGGGCCACATTTTTAACAAAAATGTTACAATAGGGTATTGTCATGGGTATTCAAGAAGATATTCATTTAAAAGTCTAAAAGGTAGATTAAAGGTAGATAAAAGTAGAT